GTCACGGACTGGGGGGGGTGGCGGACTGTGGCTCTGGGCCTGCCTGGGGCTTTTCTGCAGGAGGCTCTCTCTCCTCACACGTGCCATCTCCCAGGTAGGACGGCAAGGGCCGCGTGTCCCCTGCTGGCCCATGAACTTAGTAGGGAGCACCTGTCACGGAGCAGCTCCGGGCCCCAGAGCAGCGTGTCCCGTTGTGGATGCCCAAACCACTCCTGCTAACTCCTGCCCCTTTCCCAGAGATGCTCGGCTGGGTCTAGCTGGGCCCCGAAGAGCAGGATCTGCCCGGGGAGGCATCACAGCACTGAGGCCAAGGGTGGCTGGCTCCAACAGGGACCCATGCAAGGATTCAGAAAGCACATACACTCACCAGTTTTTTGTCCATTTTTGCTTTGATGTCTCTGGCGAGAGTGAAAAATGCCTGTGGAATAAGGATGTTGTCAGGGCCGCGGGAGGAGGAAGCGGGTAGGGACCTGCTGGTGCTGGGCCACTCCCGTGTAGGAGACGTGGCGGGACAGTGGGGTGGGCAGGGGAGCGGCGTCAGGGTGGCTTCCCGGGTGGGGTCTCACCTGTCCAGCCCCATCTCCTGCCACCACTGGGCCACTCCTGCCAAGCTGGACCGCCACCTCCCCTGAGCCAATGACCTGGGACATGGGGCCACCCTTGACTGGACACAGAGGAAACTGAGGTTCAGAGGGGTCGAGTGACTTGTCTGAAGGCACCCAGTGCCTAACTGACAGAGCCAGAAGGATCCAGGAGGAGGGCCCAGTTTTCCACCCCCGACTCCTGTGCTCTGTCCACTTTTGCCCCCACCTCTGACGGTCAGGTCAGGGGCCAGGCAGAGAGAAAGACAAGCCATTCTTAGCCAAACACACTTCGCGTGGGGTCCCTGCCAGCAGGGAGGCCTGGGAGGGCCAGTGCCAGGTAAAGGTTTGCCTCCCCATGCTTGACGAGGCTCGAGCTGGCCCCTCTTGGTAGGGAGGCAGGGTCTCAACGAACGCCCACGTGACGTGGAATATTCTGTTGCGAAGGCTGGTTTCGGTGCTAGGGAAGACCAAAGTGGTGGGCCTAAGGGTCTGGGGGACAGTGAAGGCCTCCCTGTGAGGGGCCACTTGGGCTGGGCCCTGAGGGGAAAGGGGGTGCAAGGAGGGTGTGGCACGGGTGGCCTGGGATGGAGAGTCGTGGGCAAGGCCCAAGCTGCGGGTGGCACACACCGCCTGGGGCTGGTGAGGGAGGGCCTTCTGTGCCAGGCGTATTGGGCTGAGGTTGGGAGCAACATGGAAGGTGCATTTTGGAAAGACCACTGGGGCAGTGGGATGGAGGTCGGCAGATCAGCTACACGGAGAAGAGCGGGTGGCCCGGGCCAAAGCTCAGTCATCTGGGCTTGCTGACCGGGGCCTGTCTGTGAGGGTGGCAGGGCCGAGGGCACACACGTGGAGCTGGGCCTGGGCACCTGTCAGCTGGGACTCTCTGAGGCCGTTTCTCCATTGGTAAAACGGCACCTGCTCCCCAGGGCTGCCCAAGAACCACTGAGGTAACAGCCTAGGTGCCCAGCCAGGGCCTGCACCTGCTGACGTCAGAACATGGCAAGTCCCTCAAGGGGCCTGGCACACTGCCTAGAAAGTGCCGCGCGGCCAGCCGGATGAGGGACCGACCTTAGGCAGCCCAGGGCCTGAGGTCGGTCCCCCTGGTAGAGCCTCCCTAGAGGGTGCAGCCTGTCCCTCAGCCCGGAGGGCCCAGGACTCACGTTCTCCACGTTGATGTTGGCCTTTGCACTGGTCTCCATGAACTTGATTCCATAGTCCAGGGCGAGCTGTGTGGAAAGGAGATACACACGTGCATGTTAGCCACTAGGTACCCCTGAACCCCACAAATCCTGAGCCAGGGGCAATGCAGGGGCAGGAGTTGGGGGGGGGGGGTCTCAAGCCATGGATCTGACTTCCTGGGCTGCTCCCTCAAGTGCCCAGTGGAGAGCAGGTGGTGAACATCCCTGGCAGGAGGGTGGAGGGGGCGTGGCTCAAACCACGGCTCTCTCCTCTGCTTCCTGTGGGTCCCACAGGTTCCAACCGGATGCCTTAAGGAAGCACACAGAGCACATCCCAGAAGCCGCTGCGTGTGCAGTCTTTAGACGGAAGCCCAGCGGAGGGAGTGCCTTCCACTCTCCCTTTGTCCTGAGTCCCAGACCCCCTCAGTCTTGTACAAGCCAGGCTGGCCGGTTATTGTATGCTTGTAGAGACTGTGAGAGAGTCTCCCCCAAAGCCCACTCAGCGAGTGAGCAATCGGAGACCCTCTGGGGCAGAACAGGCCTCCATGCAGAGAACCCTAAAACCCTGAGGTCCCTGTGCCACAAGGTGCCAGGCCCACGCCGGTGGCCATGCCCACCTTCTCTCCCCGTTCCTTGGACACTTGTCTCTTGTCGTTCACGTCACACTTGTTCCCGAGTATCATCTTTTCGACATCTGCAGAAGCATGCTGAAGGGGAGGGCAGACAGGTGGTGAGAGGTCAGAGGCCAACACACAGTCTGTCCCCCAAAATCCGCGTGGTGGGCCAAGACTGCTGACACACCCTTGTACAGGGGACGAGCTGAAGATCAGAGAGGCTGAGTGGCCTGTCCCACGTCACACAGCCAATACAAGAGCAGAGTCCAGGTTCTGGCTACTACTCTGACCGAGGACATGCTCTCTGGCTGCTGAGGACAGCTTCCCTACGGGCTGTGTCACCCAGGCCCCAAGGTCATCCCCGGGCTCCTGGCAGGGTCTGGCCTACGGAGGCAAGCGAGGCTGGGCTATTTACCCCCGCTCGCCTCCCTCCCTCCCTGCCTCTTCCGCTGGAGGCCCCAGCTGCTCTCCCAGGACCTTTCGCCCCACTCCAGCTTGCTCCGTTTGGACTCTGGAAGTGGGCAGCGCCTGGGGTGGCAATGGCCCCCCACTGCAGCCAGCCCCGGGGTGTCCCCATCCCCTGGCGCCCCCCACAGCTGCCTCATGCTTGTAAAGGGCTCCTCCTCCAACCCTTTCTTGGGCTCCAGTGGAAGGTTCCACGCTTCCCGAAGGACGAGGGTATGGAAAGGGACCTCGTCGTGTAGCTCAGATCAGGTCTCGTGAAACACTGCTCTGCTCCCTAACTTCCTGTTAACTGCAAGACCCTCTCGCCCACTGGCCACAAACACTGAGTTTCCACAAGGACCAATGGGAGTGGTTCCTTGTCCTCAGCCCGGGCACGGCCTCCGGCCAGCAGACCATCAGGTCTCACAGTGGGCCTGTCAGGATGGCGGCCTGGTGCCACTGCTCACAGATGTCAGCCGTGCCGTGACCTTTGGCCGTGGCTTTATGGATGGGTGAAGTCCTCTCGCTGTACCTCAGACCCGAAACCCCACCTGGTGAGTCACTGAGAGGCACAAGTGCTGTCGTCCAAGAAGGCTTTGGGGTGAGCCTGTCTGGGGAGCCAGAAGGCGGGGACGCCAGCTTTGGGACAGGGAGGCGGGGCTAACTGCCTTCTTTTCCCTCCTGGGTTCAAGGTCTGCTTTCCCAGCCAGCTGCAGTCGAAGAGCTGCTGGCTTGAACTCATATGGCTCAAACTAGCTCACACCCCGCTCTGCTGAAACTCAGAGTACAATCTGAAACGCCTGTCTGCCAAATGCAAGGGTCATGCCTATCCTGGAACCTCCCGTTTCTAGAAAGCACCAAATGCTCACAGTGACCAAGAGCTCAGGTATCTCTTCTCTCATGGCTGAGACACTGCCCAAACCTGACAGCCCCGGTGGGGAAATTAATGGGCTCTCAGGGCCACCCTATGATGACGCAAGGCCCATGTGTGGTCTGCAGGGTCAGCCACCTGGGTTCCGGTCCCCATTCCGGGTACATCCCTGGCCATGAATCTCTTGGCAAGTGACTTCTAGGGGTCTCTGTGCCTCAGTGAGCTCATCTCTTATCCGAGGAGCTCTGGGGTGGGGACCGAGGTGGGGACACGCATGAAGTTCCTCTGCACGTGAGGGGCGCAAGCCTTACCTCCTCAATATTCCGAATCCAGTTCCGGATGTTGTCAAAGGATTTCTCGTTGGTGATGTCATAGACCAGCATGATGCCCTGGGCGGGAAGGGACACAAACGTGTGCTCTGGACAAGCTGCGAGCTGAGGGGGAGGCCCCAGCAAGGTGGGGTGGCCGAGACCCCAGCAAGACACCCCTCCTGCCAACTCCCTCCACTCCACCCCTGGGGCCCTTCCTTCTGCTGGACTCTAGGACCGGCTCCTCCCTGGTCGCCCAGGCTCTAGTCCTGCCCACCCCGCCACCAAGGTGACCCTTCACCCTGCAGACCAGACCCCACCACAGTCGTGCTTGCAGACGAGCACCAGCAGGGCACATGTGCCCATGGCCTGGCAGCTCTGGGCGTCCCACCTGCCTCCCAGCCCCATGTTCCATGGCCCCAGGGCCCACAGTGCTGCCCTTCACTCAGCCCACCCTGCCTGAGTCTCCTCCGAGCACCTACTGCGCACCGCGTTCTATGGTAGGGTCTCGTTGAAGCCTCACAGCCCTCACAGGTGGGTCCAGCTGTCCCCACTCTGCAGACGAGGACCCAGAGGTGTGGGACGGCCAGGCCCGCCTCCCTTCCCATGAGAGAGTAAAGGGCGTAACTGGGGTCTGAACCCTGGATGGCCTGATCCTGACACTCTTGTGTGTTCCAATGACTCCACCCACGGGGCCAGCTTGGAGCGTGGGGCTGGGCGGCACTGAGGCCCCTGAGGGTCCGTTACCCACGTGTGAGCAGGTAGGAGACAGCGCAGGAGTCCCTAAAGAGCTGCAGAGTGAACCCACCTCCACCTGGGCCCGTGACCTTGCCGTCACTGCGAAGGACACGTGTCCCTGTTTGATACAGAGCAAACTGAGGCCCACAAAAGCGCCCTTAAAGATTCAAGCCCAGGAAAGACTGACCCTGAACAAGTTGGTCACACCAGCTCCCATTAGGAACCTCCCTGGGCCCTCATCAGCACCAAGTAACGCCGAGGGCCACCTTCCAGGTACAGGGCCCCAGCTGTCCTGGGCCGGCCTGGCTTACTCCATGTGCTCAGGCCACCCCCTCCCGACGGCCCGGCCCTGCATCCGAGACCGCTGGTGCCGGCCAAGACGTCCCTGAGGCTGCCCGAGTCTGCAGAGTGAGAACGTGGGCTGCGGGCACTGGGTGGAGAGCGGCGAGGACATGTGATAAGACCTCAGGGACGGGACAGGAGAGCCCCTGCAATTCCGAAGCCCCGCCATGAACCCAAGGAGACACGCAGGGGCCTCGCAGCCTGCCACAACCGAGGCCCTGGCCAGGACCCCTCCGGAAGGCCATCTGGGGGCCCCCTTTGGGGAGACTGAACGGAGACCACCTGCAGGACAACCAGGAGCTTGTAGAGGCCGTGCTGTTGGCCACTCCCCAGCCAAGGCCAGCTCGAGTACGAGATCCCGGTGCGCAGACTCCCTAGGTCAAGCACCGCGGAGGCCTCTGGCCGTCAGGGCAAGAAACGCCACGAGGTCCTGAGAACTTTCCTCCCTTTTATCCAGGGACTGGCCCCTCGGGTGGCCCAGGGCTCTGGCCACCACCAGCAAGTTGACACCCCATGCTCCAGATTCCAAGGTCCCAGATATTCACCAACCGAGGGGTGGGGGCGGCGGGTGGAGCTATCAGGAGAGAGAAGTGCCGAGAAAACACGGGATCACCCTATTCCAGGTCCTCCGTGGAAACTCTCCTCGGGGCCCCAAGTGACCATGTTCCCAGCACCCACTGGGCACGGCTGCCCCTATCAGCTTGTAAGCTCCCAACGGGACAATGGACACCCAATGTCCCCAAATTTGGGACCCAAGAGTCTAGTACCATGCAGGGAGAGGGCGATGGCTGTGATGGGGGCAATGTTCTCTGAGCTATCCAGTAAGGTCACCCCTGGCCACACGTGGCTCTGCGGTGCCTAAAAAGTGCGACCAAGGGGCTGGATTTCTTACTTGCGTCAATTTACACTCAAAGAGCCACATGTGGTCGCTGGCTTTATATATGGGTTCTATAAGGCTATATATATATCCAATCTAGGACTGCAAGCCACCAACACCCTGGCTCAGGCCAGCGTCATCAAGGGCTGGCTGAGGATGTGGGCACTGGAGACAGCCAATCGGCACTGGCCCAGTCATTTCCCCTCTGCGTGAACTGAAGCAGGACATGGAACCATGCTAGGCCTTAGGTCCCCTGTCAGTGAAACGTGGACAACCGTGGCACCCATGCTCCGCTGTTAATGGCCAAGACCTGGGCCCAGCAGCTGGCACACGAAAGGCCTCAGAGAATGGGGGCCGTGGGGGGGCTATTTCAGCCCAGATGGGGAGGGGGCCTGCCTGAGGCCACACAGCAGAAGCTCCCCCAGGACCCCGGTTCCCCGAGGCCCCTGCCCCACCAGAGCACAGCCAGGTGAGAAGAAAATTAGCAAATAAATTTTAATGAGGAGTGCTAAGGTTGCAATGCACACGACTGAGTTTCTGTTATGTTTCAAAAGCTGTGTGGGATACTCTCAATGCCTCCATTCATTTCTGCCGTCCACCAGTATTTCCTGAATACCCACCACATACCCAGCGTGGTCCCAGGCATGGGGCATACGGCAGTGACCGAGACGTGGCACTGCCCTCACAGAGCTTGTGGTCTTGCAGAGGAAACAGGCATGTATGCGGTCACATGATGGGGTGTGCACCAGGCGCCGGAAACGGGGAGATGGCCACCCGCCCTCGTGGCTGCCCGGAACGGAGTCCTGTTCTCTGTTCCACTTTCCAAGTAAGGAGATGCAGCTCAGAGGGTGACCCAGGGTGCTGAGCCAGGGGCCAAGGCTCTGCCTCCCGCTCCCAGACCCTGAGTGCTCCACTGTGTGCACACCTCACATGTGCTCGACCCACTCGGAGGGCAGGAACCCGGCCTATTCCGGGTCCTCCTCTGCATCTAGTTCAGGCCTGGCCTAGAGAAGGTGCTCCGTAAAAGCACCTGAGGGATGGGGAACGAGTCTTCCTGTGATAGCACCCTGCCTCTGGCCCGGGGGACCATACAACGGCCAACTGCCCGGAGCAAGCCAACTCCTGGATGATGTTCAAGTTTTCAGTAGCAAATTCCACAGAGACTGACACAGGCCACGTGAGCGCTCCTAAGTGTTGGGGCATGCTATCTCCAATTTCACTGACCTCACCTAGAAGAACCGGCTTCCTCTGTCTTCCCTCATTCCCAAAGAATTAACCGTCCTTAAACCCTGCATTGTCCCTGAAGCAGAAGAGGATGTATGTCGGGGTGGGGGCAGGGCACATAGCCTTTTCCTAAAACTAACCCGGGACCGAGGACCCCGGAGGAGCCCGAGCACAGACTCCCCAGAAGCATCCGGGTTCGGGCATTCACGAGAGTGATGTTCACGTGGACTTTAAAAAAAGAAACGAAAACCAGTCCATACCATTGCGCCCCTGTAGTAGGCCGTTGTGATCGTCCGAAACCGTTCCTGACCAGCTGTGTCCCTAGAGGAGAAGAAGGGAGAGTGGTGACAGCAAACACGAATCGTCATCACCGTGGGAACAATGGGTACTCAGCCGGGATGGACGCGGGTCGTTTCCTAATTCACTGTCCGACTGTGGGACAGCACCTTTGTCCTCTACTCTTATAGAGGAGGAAACGGTGACTCAGGGGTGTCAAAGACCTGCCCCATAGGGCGTAAAGTCATTCCCTCCAATGACCCCTCTGCTGCACCTCTGTTTCCTGGGGATTCTTCCCAGAGTTTCCGGCTCACAGAAGAGCCGAGATCGGATGTCAGCTGTGAAAATCCAGGGCCATGCTGGCATGGAAGGGGCCGGTCACATGGCTGGAGGGGTGTACCTTCATGCTTGCTTGCTGTCTTGGCAGAAGCCAGGGAGCAAGTCTTCCCTCGCTGGTGCAGGGCGACACCTGGGTGAGACACATCGTGCCCAGCCCAGCTCCTGGCACAGGGGGCATTCAGTGCTCGGTGTAAACATGGCCTAACTGATTGGTGGCGGGGCCAGGGCAAGCCCCATGTCTTTTGTCTCTGGATTCGGGGTTCCTTTCGTGACCCTGCGAGGGTTCTGCATGGCTGGGCTGCACGGAGGCCCCTCAATCTGGGGCTCGGCTGGCTTTCTGACACCAACGGCAGGTGACGTTAGTGGTTAGGAACAGTCATTTCTATCCTCCACCACGGCCCTAGTCTAGAGAAGCGTTAAGAGAGTCACTGACCCCATCGAGACTGCTGAGAGCAGAAGTAGGAAGAGAGGAGAAGAGGAAAGTGAAACTTCTGCCAGCTGCCGCCGTGTCACCTTGGACTCCGGGCGCCGAGGCTGCTGGGGAGCCACGTGGTAAAGATGGAGATGCTTCTAGGGCTTGTAACTTATGAGGCAGCCAGAGACCAGAGACCAGAGATGGGCAGATTACCAGCTGACGAGGCGTCAGGCCTCATCCAGATTTCCACTCTGGAGTCAGACCAGAGGCGAACACCACGGGAGTCGAGGGGGCGCTCTGGGCAGGCAGAGTGAGGCTCACGCTCTGAGACTCGGGGGAGGGAGACGGGCTGCGGGGAAGGTGGCTTCGTGGCCCCCCTCACGGTACTCCCTCCCACCACAGGTGCTCGCTAGGGCAGGGAGACTTCACCACCCTCTCACATGTGACTTCTCTTTCATTTCGCTCAAGGCTCATACTTCCCCGTGGGTGATGTGGCTGCAGGGCGGGGACTCCCCTTCCATCTGAGCATCTGAGCTCAGCCTTCCTGGCACTTCCGAGGGGCTACAGACCCCAGTCAGCGACAGGACTCACAACCTCTCCGATTTCATGTATCACAAGAAGTCAGCCCCAGGTAAGCGGAATAGAAAACAGGTCTTGCCGCTGGGCCTGGCCTCAGCTTATTTTTAGTTCTGGGATTTCAGGTCTGTGGGCTAAAGAAGTAAGGCTTGGGTGGCGCCTGGGTGGCGCAGTCGGTTAGGCGTCCGACTTCAGCCAGGTCACGATCTCACGGTCCGTGAGTTCGAGCCCCGCGTTGGGCTCTGGGCTGATGGCTCAGAGCCTGGAGCCTGTTTCCGATTCTGTGTCTCCCTCTCTCTCTGCCCCTCCCCCGTTCATGCTCTGTCTCTCTCTGTCCCAAAAAAATAAATAAACGTTGAAAAAAAAAAAAAATTTAAAAGAAGTAAGGCTTGGGCTTCCCCGGGGGTGGGGGAGAAAAGAGGAAATGATGTCTGGCCTTCTTCAGCGAGCTGATAGGGTCAAAAGGAAACACTGGGCTGGGGCATGGCGTTGTCCCAAAGCCTTCACCACCGCCCAGGCACAGAGGGTACGCTCCAAGTCCAATGGAAGCAGGCCACTCGGAAGCCCAGGCCCAGCGGTGCCCACATCGAAATGCTGAGCTAACCCGGACTGGCAGCTATGTCCCCAGAAGGTGCTGACAGACTCCAGGCCCCAGTAACCAGCAGAGCCCAGTCTCTGGGGTTTCGGAAGAAAGCCTCACGCGTATGGCTAGGCACAAAGAGGTGGAGGCCATGGTCACAGGGAGGGGGAAAGAGAGAGGCACCAAGGCTTCTGGCTCAAAGCACTCCCTGGGTGAAGGGGCGGAGGACGCCAATGCCTCTTACCATATCTGTAGCTTAATTCTCTTGCCATCGAGCTCTATGGTCCTAATTTTAAAGTCAATTCCTGAAAGAAAAGGAAAGAAAAGGCACATCACGGTCAGCCCACTGCCCAAGCTGCATCTGAGGCAGCCGCTGCCAACCTGTTACGGAGCACCTGCCTGGTACTGGGGCACCTGGGATCTCGGAAGCTCCCACAACAAGTCTGGAGGCGCCTGGAGAGAACTTTCTCCTCTCCTGGAAGGGGAAGCTGAGGCTCAGAGGGCAGACCGAGCTGTCAGGAGTGAAGCCCCAGGTGGCACAGGCTGGCGGGCAAACCCAGGTCCTTCAGGCGACAAAGCCTTGTTCTGTCCCCTCTGCCCACCAGGCAGCCTCTCGGAGTCGGCCTCCACGGAATCTTTCGAGGGCCAGAGCCCCACGCCTCCCGCCACCTAGCACCAGGCCCTCCCAAACACACAGGGCATGGAGCCCCAGGATGCCCCCCAATACTGCTCTCACGAACCTCCAGCCTTCGCACACGCCGTTCCTTCTCTGCGGGTGGTCCCTATGCCGCCCACCTGTCGCCCTAACAAACTTTCTCCTTTCATTTTTTCAAGTTTATTTGCTTGCAAGAGAGAGAGAGAGAGAGAGAGCGTGCATGCACGTGTGCACGGGGGAGGGGCAGAGAGAGAGGGAAAGAATCCCAAGCAGGCTCCACACTGTCGGCACAGAGCCCAACATGGGGCTCGATCCCACGAACCATGAGTTCGTGACCTGAGCCAAAAGCAAGAGTCGGACGCTCAACCTCTGAGCCTCCACCAGACCTGCTGGAAGGTCGCCTTCCAAGAAGCCTTCCTGACCCTGCCCTCCTCTCCCACTCGTCGGCTGTAGTCCCCTTTCCCCAAGACCAGGGTGACCTCTCAGCCTCCTACCCCCTCAGTCCCCTCCCCAGCTTTCCTGACCACATTCAACCATGTCACGAAGCTAACCTCTGTTCCAAACCTGCCAGCGTGTCCACCAACGGATGGGCAGATGAACAAAACGTGGCCCACCCGTACCACCACCCGGCCGTGAAAAGGAATGAAGGCCTGACACACGCCGCGACAACCGAAAACACCTTCCAGATGCTTCCGCCACCCCCTCGGCCCCAGGATGAAGTGAGAACAGTTGAGCGTGTGCGCCAAGGTCCTGCCTCGCCTGGCCACCGCGCGGCAAACAGCTCCCACGACTGTTTCCTAAATATGCCGCGCGCAGTCTGGACTCAGGGCTCTCGTGCTCGCTCTTCCCTCTCTTGGAACGCCGCTTCCTTCCATGACTTCCTGGCTCCCCCGGCCCTTCACTCAGGCCTCTGTTCAAGTCACCTCCCCAGGTGAGCCTTCCTGACCATCCTCACTCTCTCTCCCCTCGCTTCTTTTCCTTCTTCGGGCGCACACCCTTGACAGTGCATGTTTGTGCATTTGCTCCACGGATCTTGGGGTGAAAGTTGCCCTTGGAAAACAGCCCAACCCTGCCTTTACCTCCGCGAGTTTGTTCTACATCTTTGCCCTCGAAGCCTGGAGGCGGGAGCCTGGCTTGAGCCCTCAGAACTGATGACAGGATGTTAATTCCATCGCTGCCCACCTCAGGAGCTGTCCAGGGGACCACAGGGAATATCAGTCTGCACCTGAAATGTGCCCACTGGGACAGAAGCCCCAGGAGAGCAGGGACTCAGACGTCTTACTCATGGCTGTGTCTCCGGTAACTCAGCATGGCAGAGGCCAGCTATGTATCTGCTAGAAACTGATCACCCAGTCCCACACACACACACCTTGACTACAGGCCTTGTTACATTGGTTTCCCTCTGATTCATCCCAGTCATTTCTTCAGCCCCTGCAGCCGTGCTGGCACACAGCAGGCGTTGGGGAAAGATGGCAGGGCGAAAGAAATAAAAGCCACAGGGTGCCGTGTGGTTTACGGAGCACGTTCACATCTGCCATGTGTCTCCCTGAAGGTATGAGTGAATGGGGCCCCAAGGAAGCCGTGGGAGCTGAGCCAGGCTGTGAAGAACCAATTCTGAACTTGGGCGCCGGGCCAAGTTCACACCGCCAATGATCGATGCAGCTTTTGAGAACGGGCTCTGGCAAAACGAAAGCTGGGCAGGAAATGAACAGCCACTTAATCCCTGATCCATAAAGACAACCCAGAGGTGTACTCAGTGCCAGTAGAGAATCACCTTTACACATTCAGTTGCATTTCAGGACTAAGCGGCCCAGTGTTGTTCCTTCCTAAAACATCCCCTACCTCCTGTCCCAGGTCCACAGGGACACGTGAAATCAAGATGCCCTGTTTAATCGGCAAAGCCCCACAGCATCACTCTGTCCTAACCTCTTCCTGGGTTTCATTAACACACCAGATTTAATTAGGAAGTGTTAAATTTTACAAGGCTAAGAATTATGAGGCCATCGCTTCAAGGTCAGGATGAATTAAATTTGCTCAGAAGACAGAGGCCTACTGGAAAACTACAAATGTAATCAGAATACTGAGGTGGGAGGGAAGGATTCTGGGTTTAAGTGCCACCTGTACCTCCCTAGACGACCCTGCCCAAGCCAAGTCTTTGTCTGGAAGTGGAGGCCGGCCTCCTCGGAGCCCTAAAGAGCTAGACTGGGTTTCCTGGACAAGAATGAGAAACCAACAGAAAGATCCAATCTCCAAACTGATCTCACTAGTGCTTGTGCTGAACAGGAAGTTTCCGACGCTGGGACACTGAGGTCTGGGTGAGAGCAAGCCACAGCCTGCCAGGACGTAACATCACTTCCTGATTCATGGAGATGCAAACGCTATCCCAAAGTTGGACACTGGAGTGGTGGAGGGGGAGGAATCAGAAACCTCTGGGTCCAGGGATGAGATGCTGTCACTGCAGAAGCCAGAAATTCTGCTTCCTCCAGGCCGCCTCCGGCCACGATAACAACCTCTTATTCGTTGTACATTTACGATCCTCAACCATCCAGGGCACTGGTCAAGGCAGAGAGCATCACTCCTAAACTGAAGAAACAGGGCTCAGAGTCTAAGTGCTTGTTCAGGGTCGCCCAGCGCCTGGAAAGCTGGAATGACCATTTCCAGTCCAATTCTCTCAACTGTCAAGTGCAGCTCCTGGAGAGGGGCAGGAATCGAATGAGCAGCTCATGGTGGGGTTCAGGGAGATAAGGTTATTGGGCTCGAGTTACACAGGGGGTAAAGCAAAGCCTGGTTCCTAGGCTGTCCCCATTCAGAATCAACTCCTGGGCTTGCTGACTATTCTGGAACAAGGCTGCATAGCTCACAGGCCACTCCATTTGATTGGTGTTACTTCCAGGTCAAACGTTTTCACACGGGCAATGGCTGTTTTTGTGACATGGGGACAAGTCAGCTCCACTTTTGTGGATATCAGAACTGAGAAGCAACAAGCCAATTCTGTTCAGCCACAACGTGGGCTGGCTTTGTGGGAAAGGCTGTTCTGCAAAGTGACAACTGGTGTCCCGGGCCTCAAGATAGGGAAGTCGGCACTGTCTGTGGCAGCGGCTGATTTTGGTTTCTCACTCAGGTTTTTATCTGGCATCTCCTTGGGGATGACAGGTCCCAGGGCAGGCAGCTGTCAGTCATCATTGCTATCACCTTCTAGTGGGATGGAAGGTCGGGCAGAGAAAGGCTCCAGACTCTTTCTTGCCATTCCTTCTAGAAGAAATTCACCCATGGGGGAAACAGGGTCAGGGAGAGGGGCTTAACCCCTGAATATTACAGAGGAAAGAGCAGGAGAGGGCTTGCCCTGGGGATGAGTGCTCCCATCCAATGGTCCAGTCTTGATTTTGGGCGTTAGACCCACACGGATTCAAATTCCATCCTTGCCACCTGCAGACTGTGTGACCTTGGGTGAGTCGCATGCCCCCCCGAGCCTCAAATTCCTCAGTGAGGCTCATAACAGCATCTAACACAAAGGACTGGAGGGTGTAATAATGTACATAAAGGGGCTAGCGCACAGTACATGCTTAATAAGGTCAGATGTCAAAGGCCTCTTCCTACGGCCAACTCCCCAAGCCTGTTTCACTTCTGTAAGACGGCGACCCCAAAAGAACAGCTTCGAGGGCTGCTGTGTGGACGGCACGAGATGACCGGCGCCAAAACCCCAACCCAAGACCTGTACTTCCTGACGAGCAAGCTGAGAGTTGGGGCCTCAGTCTCCCCATCTGTAAAATGGGCCCTTGGTTCCTATCCCCTTCCCCATAGCCCGGGAACCCCCGAAAAGAGGTGGAAGCGGTTGCTCTTTTCCCCTCCGGTCCCCTCGACCCTCTCTAATCCCTGGATCCGTCCGGCCCAGCCGCTCCCTCAGCCCCAGCCCTTCAGGGGCGCGCCCGGCCCGGGCCTCCGGCGTCCCCGGCCGCTCCCCGGCCCCGCTACCTATGGTGGAGATGAAAGTTGAGTTGAACGCGTCCTCGGAGAAGCGGAACAGGACACAGGTCTTCCCCACCCCCGAGTCCCCGATCAGCAGCAGCTTGAACAGGTAATCGTAGGTCTTCGCCATATTACACTCTCTCCCCGACGGGAAGTGCGGCCAGCGCCTCGCCACTGGCCGCTGGTTCCGTCCATCAGCGCCGAGCCCGCCCCCTATTGGCTCCCGGCCCGCGGCGCGTCACCCAGGCCGCCACCCTCCCCCGCGCCCCTCCCGTCGCGTAGAGACGTGGGGAAGGGGAGAGCAAGGCGCGGTGCCGGAAGCGGGCCGAGCGCGCCGGTCATTGGTCGGCGCTAGGGACAGGGCGGGCTGCAATTGGCCAGCGGTGAAGAGTCCAGGGGCTTCGAATGAAGACCAGGGGGGCGGGGCATCGCGTGTCCCCGCCTTCTGCCCGCCCCCGACTTGGGGGAAGCCACGCCCCCGGGTGGGAGTGGCAGGGCGGGGAACGTCGCCAACGGCTCCGCGCGCCCGCAGTGGGGCGCGTGCGCATGCGGCCCGGGAGACCGTTGGGTGCCGGCAGAGGGCGCACGCGCGGCGGGTTCTCCGGTTCCCGCCCTCACGGCCCGCGCAGCCTCCGTAGGCTCCGGGAAGAGCGCGGGAAGGGAGTGCGCGGGTGGCGGTGTCGTCTGGAGGGCGCTGCGTCCATCCAGGGGGAACCGAAGAGGAAAGGAGAGTGGGGACGCTCGTCATCGTCGAAGCGAGGCCTCTTCGGGACGTCTTCCGGGGTCTCGGCGCCGGCCGGGGGGACTACTCCGCCGCCTGAGCGGCTTTACTGCCACCAGCCGTACCCGCGGGAACTCCTCGCTACGCGCCTTTGGACCTAATTAGGGACTGTCCAGACCACTGTCTGCCTGCAGTTCCCCCCCCCCCCCCCCCCCCCCC